AAGCAGTTTGTGTTGGTTAATGCTTTTGAATAATGATGGGAATATTTTGCATTTGTTTTGGTTGAAAGAGTATTTGAGTCAGTGTAGAGCAGATGGAGCCTCTGAGTGCAAGAAGTGATTGTCAGTATGGCAGGACAGGAAGTGTCTGGTTAAATATTTATCAAATATCTCAACAATGGGCCTGAACCATTGTTTTGCTCTTGTGGAACACAGTGATTCAAGGAATATATAATTTACCTTTGAATATTTCATGGATAAATTAGCTTCCTAGGAGTCTAGGAGACGAGGAAACATCAAAACCAAACTAACCTGCAAAAAATTCAATGACCAACAAGGGGAGACACTGTAATGCTCAGCAATTAAATGTAGTAGGGTGTGAATCCTATCTGAGGATGGGATTTTTTTCCAGTTAAACACTGAAGCTAATATGATGCCTCTGTAATTCACCTGGTGGCAAGAACTAAGAAATTCTGGAAGTGGTTAAGACAAACCCTTGTTAAAGAAAGAAACTGCTAGATGAGGATGGTGCTGTTCAGGACAGATTTGCTGGGGTTGCAGAACGATGAAGTCTCTCTCCAGGGACACTGTGGGTTTTTGTACTTCTATTTCTCTTCTTCTCTTGAGAACACTCTGATTTACTTTTGCGATAAAGCCGTAACAACAGGGGGATCACATTGCTGAAATGAGTTTAGCTGGAAGGGATACATAATGTCAGCTGAGAAATAGCACTTGGTAAATATGTTTTGGCCATGGTTCAGCAAAAAAGCAGATCCTGTCAGCCACGTAACATTCTGTTTTCCTCAAAGTGTCTTTTAGTTGAGCAGAATCACAGAGTCTTTTTGAAAAATAAAACTAAAAATGCTGGTCTGTCACGGTTTCTGTATCTGTGGCCCTGACTAGATTGGTATGGATCAGTTCAGTTCTCAATACATTCATTCTCTGACACACCCTTGCCATGGGAAAGGTGTGGGGAAGTGAGTGATGTTTAAGTTTGCATTTAGTACTGTCCTTTGGTTCCTGGGTGATGAAATAGCCTTTGATAGTCTGTATTATTGTGGGATGCTCAGCTGACATCTGTTCTGTCTATGCCAGCTACACATACAGTCAAGGCCCTACTGCATTTTGAGATGAGAACAAGGGAAAATGAAATAGATAGAAATTGGGAGGTGGGATGGAGTATGCCTGCCTCATCCATATTCTCAGTGGGTGGGTGCTTGGCTCTTGTGCTACCTTAACAACCATTTCCTATGCAACACATAGCCACTGTTGTGTAGTGCAGACAGTTCCTCTGTTAGAACCTGCACTGAAGTCCTGAAGCTGTGAAAAAAAAAATGATGGAAATAAGTGTTTCTGTCTGGGCTTCAGGTAGTAGTAACTGTGGGATTTCATTTTTGTGTTTTAGAAATGTAAAAATGAAATCCCAGAGTAAACATTCCAGGAGAAATAATCTGGCCTTGTTTTTTTTCCCAGCCAGGAAATGGGGAAAGCATTGTTCTGTGAATACATTGTGAGCTAGGAGTTTTCATGTGAACACTGCTGCATTTATGCCAGTGTTCCGAGCAGCAGCCTTGCCAGAGGAGATGTCAGACAATCCTCCTGTTTTCATCCTTGCTCTTGTTGAATCACCAAACCATATGGCAAATTAAGCCTGATTTTTATTAAACTTTTCGTTGTACTGAGCTTAGTGTGAACTGGGAAATGCACTTTCTTTGAACTATGCAGCCCATTATATAAGCATCTTAATTAGGAGATGTTAATGTTCTCCCTCACATTCCTGGGAGTTTGCAGCTCCCTCTTGTGGCTAATTAACCATTTGAAAGACTCCTGAAAATTCCTTTTTGTGGGGCGATCACTGCCCTGGAGCCAACGCTACAGTGGGACATGGAACAGCTCCATCCTGAGCTGTGTCTTACAGTATTAACCATAAAGTGCTGTGCAGTAAGGAGATGATAGGCAGGTAAACAGAGAAAAGAGATAGGTCTGCATATAGTTGCACTGTGAATGTGACAGATCCCTGAAGCTTTAAAAAAGCTGAGTGGGCGCATCCAGTCCTTCAGAAAAGCTCTGCTGTCTGGTAACTTTGTTGTTTCTGTGCATCAGATGCTGAGGAGTGGTTTACAGCTCTAGTGGGGATGAGCTATGGGATGTGTTGTAGCTCCAAGGAGTACAAATCTTTCAGGTACCACATTGGGATATCTCACCATCAAATTCAAGGTTAAGATCTTTGCCAGATTTGGAGGTGAGAGGAAATTTTCCCTCCAGCTGAGTTTGCAGGGACCTTTATTACTGCTGTTATTATTACACTCCTGCTTTTCTATCTTATAAGGTTATCTGTATTTTGTTTTGATAATTTCCCTTACAGAGCACAGTATTAGTTTTGCTTTCTTATTGTGGCTTGTTACAACTGCAGCACTGTGTCTATATTACATCTTAAATTTGCCTCAAACAGTTAGGTATTGTTTGATGGCTATGGTGGAAATGTATATTGTAAACATCTCTGAGTTAGAATTTTTGCTGGTCTGTGGTTGACTTCAGGCCTTTCAAACCACTGTTCTCATACTGGATAGGCAGGTACACTTGTCCCCTGCAATGTTGTCTCTTCTGTATTTTGGACTGACATACCCAAAAATACACAAGAAAACTTCTTCCATTAGTGTTTCTGAGTGTTGGAAGGAGGAAGAAAAACTAGGTGAAAGAAGTTTTACTTTGAAATTTCTTCTTCCCCAAAGGGTTTGTGAACTGAAACTTTATCTCTGAAAATGCTGATTTCCTATTTCATAACTTGTGGCAATTCTTTCTCAATTAAAATAAAGGAATAATGATTATGGAGTTAAGTCAAAATCTCACTGCCCAGTAATCTGCAAACCAGCATTGCTGAACCCACAGCAGTAGGGCAGCAAACATTTATTTCCACAGGGACATTATTAAACACCCTCCCTGCATATTTATTATCTCAAAATTGGAGCAGGGCCACATTTCTAAGGCCACTTTTCCCCTTCCTCTTCCTGAGCTGTGATTCAGAGCAGCATATAAATTTTTGACTTTATGTTTCTGCAGAAATATTAGTGATATGAAATTGCTAGAAACAAAAGAACATGAAACAGCAGAGGGAAGGAACATCTTGGCAAGATTGTCAGCCTTGAAGGGCAAGATTAATTTATAATCCTTGAGATTCTGGTGTACAAACACAAATTTGCAAAGCATGGAGCTTAGAACTAACATTGTGTAGCTCTGCAAGTTTATAAATGCTACTGTTACTAATGTGAAACTGCCTTGAAATTGGATTTTTTAAGGGAATTTTTTTCTTGTGTGGAAATAAGGTGATAGTACCAAGGAGTTGCCATATACACATGGGTGTGTGGATATATAAATACGAATTTGGAAAGTGGACTAATTCCAGCTGTGTGACTAAGCAGAGTTCTGGGCACGACATTTTCATGTGGAGTTTTTTCCCTTGATTTGAAATCCTGGGAAAGGAAGAGTGTGAAAGGGAATTGGCAGGGAGAAAACCCAACCTAAAAGGAGTTTGTTTTGTAGTGTCTTCAAAATGGCTGATAAAAAGGAATGACTAATTGGAAAATATGTGTGATGGCCATTGGTATGGTAAGGGTTGTGTGAAATAAGTGTGCTTCTGCCACTCAGTGGCTCATCTTTTTCTTTTTCTTTTTTTCTTTTTTTCTTTTTCTTTTTTCTTTTTCTTTTTCTTTTTCTTTTTTTTTCTTTTTTCTTTTTTTCTTTTTCCTTTTCCTTCTCTTTTTTCTTTTTTTTTTCTTTTTCCTTTTCCTTTTCCTTTTCCTTTTCCTTTTCCTTTTCCTTTTCCTTTTCCTTTTCCTTTTCCTTTTCCTTTTCCTTTTCCTTTTCCTTTTCCTTTTCCTTTTCCTTTTCCTTTTCCTTTTCCTTTTCCTTTTCCTTTTCCTTTTCCTTTTCCTTTTCCTTTTCCTTTTCCTTTTCCTTTTCCTTTTCCTTTTCCTTTTCCTTTTCCTTTTCCTTTTCCTTTTCCTTTTCCTTTTCCTTTTCCTTTTCCTTTTCCTTTTCCTTTTCCTTTTCCTTTTCCTTTTCCTTTTCCTTTTCCTTTTCCTTTTCCTTTTCCTTTTCCTTTTCCTTTTCCTTTTCCTTTTCCTTTTCCTTTTCCTTTTCCTTTTCCTTTTCCTTTTCCTTTTCCTTTTCCTTTTCCTTTTCCTTTTCCTTTTCCTTTTCCTTTTCCTTTTCCTTTTCCTTTTCCTTTTCCTTTTCCTTTTCCTTTTCCTTTTCCTTTTCCTTTTCCTTTTCCTTTTCCTTTTCCTTTTCCTTTTCCTTTTCCTTTTCCTTTTCCTTTTCCTTTTCCTTTTCCTTTTCCTTTTCCTTTTCCTTTTCCTTTTCCTTTTCCTTTTCCTTTTCCTTTTCCTTTTCCTTTTCCTTTTCCTTTTCCTTTTCCTTTTCCTTTTCCTTTTCCTTTTCCTTTTCCTTTTCCTTTTCCTTTTCCTTTTCCTTTTCCTTTTCCTTTTCCTTTTCCTTTTCCTTTTCCTTTTCCTTTTCCTTTTCCTTTTCCTTTTCCTTTTCCTTTTCCTTTTCCTTTTCCTTTACCTGTTCTTTTTCCTTTTCTTTTTCTTTTTCTTTTTACTTTTTTTTTCTTTTTACTTTTCCTTCCTTCCTTCCTTCCTTCCTTCCATCCATCCATCCATCCATCAATTTAAATGGAAAAAGAAATAGAATTAAATGAAACACCAAATTCTAGGCATAAAGTGAATACAGTAGTGATGGAACAATAGCAACTCTAAGTAGTGAAACAGAAGACACTGAAGATAAGCTAGGAACTGACTAAGGGCATGAGTAGCTTTTCCAGGGTTTAACACAAGAATTGCTCAGTGTTGTTTGAGTCATTGAAATCATATTTTACAACAACACTTTTTGGCAGGGAAGATACCTCAGCATTAGGTAAAATACTGAAATGGCTTATGTGGTTTCAGAATGATTTTTAAAGACTTTATAATATGGACTATCCCTTGTTTTGTGCCATTCAGGTCATCAGAAGTGAAGGCACAGAGGGAGCAAAGTTCCACCTCTCTGGCAGAGGAGTAGATCAAGACCCAAAAGGAATTTTCCGAATCAATGAGGTCACTGGGGATGTGTCTGTGACCAGAGCCCTTGATAGAGAAGCAATTGCCAATTATGAGGTGAGTACTCTTACAATAACATCTCTGCCTCTACGCTGATCGTGTATATTCTTTGAATGTGTATTTGCTCTTGAAATATCTGCAGCTCTTGAAGACTGTATTGCAGCAACTGTCCTGTACCACCTCCAGAAGTATTGTTTGTCCTTTGGAAATGTGTTTATTTTTACACACTATCAAGACTACTGTGCTTTCTGCATGGCATTTCTGTCATTCCTCTTTAGTAGAAATGCTGTCTGAACATTGTGTATGTGTTTGATTTGTGAATACAAGATTACTTTTGGACACAAGGAGATCTTTTGGGGAAGTTGCCACTATGATACTACATGGTTATAATTTTTCTTGCCAAATGGTCAATGGAATGTATTATTCAGCTCCATTTTTAGTAGTGGACATCTTTTAATAGAAATAGAGAAGATTCTGATAACCTGAAAATGTTAGCAGATACATCTCTGTCGGGTGTACATCACCTATAAATATTTTACTAAAGATTCCTTTCCTTGTTAAATAAATGTTGGCATTCTCCATTGAATATTTAACAAATGATCTCTGAAATCTGCGAAATAACTACTCCATGATGTCCCAAAGAGCATACTATACACAGAGGATCTGTCAGTTCATGTGTTCTGCCATAACTCTTGAAATGTGCAATCAGAAAATGATGTGTGGCTACTTCGACACAGAGGAGCAGCAGAATTCCAGACACTAAGTGGTCAGTACATGTGCATGTTGCCACTTGTGTCACAGCATGGGGACTGACCTGGGTACCCTCTGGCAGTTGGGAGCACATGCTGCCCCAACCCATGTGGGACACAGGCTCTGGGGACAGCCCTGACTGCCATCCCTGACCCCTTTGTGTTGTCTTCTGCTGAGTAGTGATCAATACTTGTACTCTGAGTGCTGTTTCTCTCCTCCTCTGGGAGAGTTTGCCAGTTAGCTGACTAGTCATACTTGCTCAAACAGCACTGCTAAAATTTACCATATGTTGGTTTTCAGCACTTAAACATCTATTTCTTATCTGGGTCTACAGTGAAATGTATGTTAACCACTCACATAGGATTTATGGTAGTTACTGACGTCCTTCTTACAAGAAAAATATTGCAGTTTCTCTTTTTAACACTGTTCCTTGTCTTCATTTACCAGCTGTTTCTTATTTTATCAGTGGTTTTCCACCTTAATGTGTTTAGTATAAACCTGGAGTATTTTCTTGCTGGAAAATCATAGTAGACTTTTCAACTTAATGCATCAAAGCACAAATGGCTCTCCTATCTGATCTGGCAAGAGATACACTTAAATTAAGACAAAGCCATTTCCCTGGAGGAGCCTTTTTGAAGCAATGTAAGTTATATACAAATAGTTTGGGGTGGCAGATTATCCGAAGCAATGGGAATGTACAGCCTAATAGGCTGTAGTGCTTTCTAAGCTGATACCAGCACTATGCTCAGCATGTTCCCAGCATCCTGCAGTGCAAAATGGAGCTGAAAAGTTCTGTAGGACAGCCCTCTACTTGATTAGTCTGTCTTTGAATCCAGCCCATTGTTTTCCAATAAAGATATGTCATGGCATCTGGAAGACAGCAGGATTTTCTCCCTGATTTCCTTGGTACACTGAAAGATGAATAACCTGGAAGACCCTTCAACTTCTCTCAAAAAAATATGCTTGTTTTCAGTTTTTGTTTGAGCTTCTCCCTGCCCAGTATGGATGCTCTGAAAGAAAAAGTTCAAAGTAAGGGGCAAACAAGGAAAGATCACTGTGAAAAAGTACAGGTTTTTTGCAATCCATCATGCTATCAAGTATATAATCAGTGGTGGGGTAAGGATAACAAGATGAAATCTGTTTGAATCCTTCAGCTACATAGAGGGATGATGTATGTGAGCACTGATTTATTTCCTACACTTAGTGCATATGTTCTCATGGGGTGAGTATTAAATAAGTTGTAAGGGCACAAAATAGAGCTTTGGTGATCACAGTATTTCATAGAACTCTGCAGATTTTACCACCTCAAAATATTTTGAATTAGCTAAGAATATTTTATCTATTAAAATTATTTCTTTCATCTGATGTTTGAAATTCTGTTTTTCCTGCCCTCATTCTCCTGGAGTAATATTGAAAAACTTGTAGGGGTTTTTCTGCGGATTCATTACAAGGGAAACATGATTAAATTACCGGAGTACTGAATTCTACTCAGACAATTGTTGATTGTTTGAGTTAATCCCTCCTTCCTACTGTTTATTTTTAAGTAATGTATTTCTAGTAAAAGAAAATATTTTAAAATAGAGGGGGAAAAGTCCTCCTGAGGATCAGGGCCTGCCAGTTCAGTGCAGTTCATTGTGTGGAAGTTGTGTTTTCAGATGCTTTTAGTGTTTAACAAAAGAAACTTAAGCTGGCAAGAGGAATGTAAGGCAGCTCATATTGATAACACCACCCTCACTCCCCTGAAATAGACTTATTGATCCACTTGGTTTATGAGTTTATTTTTTGTGAATTCAGTTAAATTGATCAATAATGGACAAGTATGAGAAATTCCACCAAAATATTAATGTTGAAGTGACTAATTGCCAAACTAGTTCTAATCTATCACCTGCACATTTGAAAATGTGAAAGCTTCTGTAGAGAAAATGAAGCTGTGTCTAGGAGGTTGGGTGAGACAGCAGAAGTCCAAACACCAATATGGTGAAATTTAGCTATTAGTAATTCTTTTTTCTCCTTAGTTTCTTTTTAAGGAGGAGGCTAATGCAATCGTGTGTACCAGTGGGAAAAGGGAGGTGCTCCTGGTGTGTTTACCCCTGTAACTTTGTGGTTTGTCTTTTTAAAGGACAGAGAATGTCATTCAGCTTCAGTTTTAAGTGGAAACCGTTTACGAAGAAAAGCAAGAGGATGTAGGGGTGATGTTATGCCCCGTGAAGACAGACTGTTTTAGAAAAGTGTGTAGTAACTCCTTTTTCCTTCTAAAGAGGTTTGATAATGAGCATCCTGATAGGAATTCTCTGGGTCAGAGTACACCAGTGGATTTACATCGAATGGTTTTACTTTGGGGCTGCTGCAGCCTGTTGACAGAACTGCTAAATGGTGCTGTGAAGAGGGGACTTAAGCAGACTATGGACAAGTTATTGAATTGCTGCTGGGTTGGTGAGATAAGAGGTAGCCTAGAGTCCCTATTTAGTGGGAGCAAAAGGTGTTCAGTTGTACAAATATGCTTTCAAGCATATTTGGTTTTCTCTCAAGATTTGAATAAATAAGGCTAGTCAGAAATTTCAGACAATGGCAAATCATTTATTTATTTACTATTGGAAAGTCCAGAGGTGTAAAAACAGATTAAGGAACTTGCTGGAGAGACTTAAGATGGATTTTCTAGTCCAAATCTGAGGTACACACCATCCAAAACCTGCCAGTAATCTATGTGATTCAGAGTTTGCTTCAGCCCCATAGTCTTTTCTGATTCCAGCAGAGCAAAAATATTATTGACTTTTTAGTTCTGTCTTTGAGCAAAAAAATAATCAAGTGCTTCTATAAAGAGCTGTGATAACGGAGCTAAAGGATTTCAGGGAAGCTGGAAGGCTACTCATGCTGAGTGTTGATAAAAATATTGGGAAACAAAGGGTGAAATAGAGGACCAGTGAAAATAGATGTCTGAAAACCAGTGATTATGGGGCAATCTGTTAATTAAAACCCCTGAGATTATTTTCAAAACCTCACATTTACCTTGATAACGTATTTTTAGGCAGAATGTTTTCATGCAAATAAAAGAAGAGTTGTGAAGATTGATTGGCCAAGATGACAAAAAGTTGCTAAAAGAACTGTTTTGTTTTTTTACTCAAAGTTAGGTAGGTGAAGAGAAATTGGGAAAAAATTTCCATTACCTTTGCACTGTTCATACCTGAGATTTTGGGTTAGGCATTCCTTGGTTACAGGACAAAGCATCAAGTTGTTTCCATCACTTCCCACTGCATGTAATCCTTTCAGCAGTGAAATCCACTTCCGTAACCTCTTAAGCATCAGTGGCAAAGTGCCACTGAGGTCTTCCAGCTGGGTCTCAAGATTTTAAAGGATGTTGTCATCACTGATAGACTCTTTCATAACTGCCTGCCAAGTGAAAATACGTGTGGAAGAGAAATAGTCAGAAAGTGATCCTCTGCAAGAATGAAATGAAGCAGCTTGATAAAAGTGCTCAGCGACAGTGTGCAAATTAGAGCTGTGACCAAATTTACCTAAGCAATTTGAACTGTTAATGAAGAGTTAGTTTTAATTATTTTTTAAGTAAGAGCTTTATTTGCTGTGGAAAACACTTAACAAGCTGAGGTGTGAAATCAGCTTTCAGCTTTTTTTATAATGACAGATCACACTTCTGTGCCAGGATGCCTTGCAACTGGGAGTGACAGACTGAGATATTTAGAAAACTTATGTTAACAGGACTGAAAAGCAAATTAGAACTATTTGCTCTATGCAGCATTGTTTCTATATGTTGGATAACAAGCAGACTGAGAACAGGCAGAGGATTTCAGATCCGTCAACAGCAATTGACTCTCTGGTGTGAACTGCCTCACTTTAGGGTACATGTGACTGAGGGTGATGCTGCAGTCCTAATGGATTCTATTTTTGTGTTTCATATGGAACAAATAATGGAAATGCTTCACAATAATGAGGAAAACTAGCTTGGTCAGGTGCTGAGGAGTGTTTTGTGAGAAAGATTTTTAAGTCCTTTAATGCATTTTTGCAGATATGGAAAGCATTACCCCTAGATGTGAATAGATGTAATTTATTGCGTGCAGAAGAACAAATCTGTCTTCTGTGTAAGTCCATTTTAGTGCATCCACATCCTTTTCAGAATGATTTATCATACCCTGATGCTGAATCTCTGCAGTTTGCAAGGTGGAGATCTATGGGCAGCACACAGAATCATGTTACTCTTTCAGAAAGGAAACCACAATTTGCTTCTAACTTCAAGACTGATCTAAACTGTATTCTTAGTGACCTGCACTGGCAGATTGGTCTGTAGTGTAAGT